GTTCTTACTTCATTCTTCAAGCATATTAATTTCTACTCCTTTTAAGTCCTCACTTTCAAATCCTTAGCCACCTTCCACCCTCCATCCTGACACCCGGGCCAGCTTAGGTGAAATTGCTCTTCCAGAGCTCCCATACTCAGCTTTGGTCACTTCTGCAGTAGCATGCCCAGCTGTAGCCTGCCTGCTAGATAGCTCGCACCATGAGGGCAGGGCACTGGATGCCACTCATGACCGTGGGAACCATATCCATATGCAGAGAAGTCTCCTGCATGCCCATACATAGGATGTCTTATATTCTGAAGAAAAGGATGAGTGAAGAACTTTCAGTCCCAAAGTTCTCCTTTAATATCCTTTTGTGTTTTGTTGTTTTCTCTTTTATGCAGATGAAGGTTAATGAATAATTTAGTTAAAGATGAGGTAATTGTTTTAAAAGGTCATCAAGAGGCAAGATGACTCTTGAAACCTCTGTGAATAATTAGCAAACCTACCTTCAGAGCTCATTAGCTCACCACACGGATGGAGACCATTATTCCCTGCTGTGAAAAACTGTGACTCATGCTCTTTTGAAATCAGTTGAAGATGTTTGTTTGTTTGTTTTTATTATTATCATGGTATTTCTGCTGGAACACTGTAACTGTTAATTGCAAATCCTATGAATAAGCTTCACTTCCCGTGCAGGCCATGAAGAAGCCCTTTCTCTGAGCTAGTCACAGATAATAATGTGCATTCACATTTCATTCGCAGTCACTTAATTGCATGCTTCCACCTGATGGAAGTAGTACCATGACTCCACAGTCAGCCACCTTTGAAAAATTAATGTTGTTCTCTTTATATTTTACTTGGTGATGAATATTTCCTGTTAGTTTCCAGCAGACTGCATTTGACATTTCATACATGCCAAACCAAGGCAGCTTCTAAGATTTCATTCACAGTTGGGTAATTTTGGTGAATAATGAGCCAGGAATTAACGAAAAGAACCATCTCCTCACGTAGAGAAGTCTCCTGAGGCTTAAGAAACTAATCTAGCAGTTATTGTGTGTATATTTTTGGCCTGTCTTCTTTTCAAACATGTCAGTTGCCATATATTCGATCTTTCAGGATACAAGAGAATCAGTTTTATCAAAACTGATGTCAAATGTGCATTTGACATTTTATGTAGCTACTGACAATACTGAAATTATATTTCATAATAATAAAATAGATCTTTTAATTGGATAAATATTCTTTTTATATTATATATTCTAAGGAATCTAGTGAAGGAAATCAGTTGTATTCAATAGCTACAATGAATTAAGCTGTACCTCATTGAAAATCTGGACTTAATAAACAATTAAAAGAGTAGAAAGTCATCTATATTCTAACAGCTGTTAGGAACATTTCTTTTGTTAACTCTTCTTCTTACTGTCACTACACTTGTGTACAAGAAAAGGGACAGTAAATTAACAGCACAGGATATTCACCTATATTTACTTAGTGTTTCAGTTAATCTTATTCATACATGTATGGTTGGAGCATCAAGGAATAAAGGAAACCATGTAAATATCACTTGTTAGGGAATCCAAAATCAGTATTTTAGTTCAAACCTTTTATTTTACAGACTAGTGTAGAATCATTGTTAGGGAATAGATTTGGATTTCATAGAGATCTGAGTTCAAGTCCTTGTTTATTGACTTTGTGACTAGGGTACATTACTTCATTTTTTTTTTTAAGATTTATTTATTTATGCATACAGAACTGGGGTACAGGCCAGAGGTGCAGGGCGGCGAGAGGCTTCACCAGAGACAGAGTGGGGAGCAGAACAGGCAGATCCGCGAAGTACACTGCTGAGGGGAGCAGCGGGCGGGTCAGGAGAGGTCTGCCACGCCATGTGGTTTCCTCGGGGGCAGGCGGGAATCGAACTCATGCGGAAGTGGCTTTAGCTTCTCAGTGCTGTGCTTTAACCCACTGCACCACCAGGGAGGGCCACATTACTTCATTTTTTAAGAAGCAACTTTCTCACATATGAAATGGGAAAATGATGCTTATTCTGAAGTGTTGTTATTCAGTGATAGAATATAGTCATGTGGCCTATGATATACTGACTTCTCAGCAAATGGAAATAGAGCATTAATAATACTCATAAGAGATGTAATGTCCCTAATGTTAATTGAGTTGCTCAAAGTCACAGAAGCAGCCCACGGCACTTTGAGTTGTCCAGTGCTACAAATCATGTTTATTATGGGTGTTCAACAAGTGACTTTTTTTTGTCTCTGTTTCATCACTGTTAAAATAGCTAAGAGGTTATTGCTCTTCTCAAGGTATAATGCATATCAAATGCACGTCACATCAAATAAGAGCTAAATTAGATAAAATAATATCACAGGGCAATTTAGATGTTAGTCTTTAGTGTTTTAGACTTCAGTTTTTTCAGTTTATGTGATATTTATATAGCATGATTTAAAAGTCAGAGTAAAACATATCAAGAAGCTTGAATAACAGTGGGACAAAATTGGCATTTGTAGCAAGGTGATTTTGAATGATTATTGGTGACTTACAAGAAGAATAGTATGATATAGTTTAAATGAAAGGTGCAAAATATTGAATATGCACATTACCTATATGACGAGTTAGTGTGCATCTACTTCATTCTTTTTCATCTTGTCTTGCGGGAGCCTACTTGTGAACTTAGAGGAAGATTAGAGGCTGCATTAAGGATTGGGGGGAAAATCATAAAAATTTGTAAATAATTGGCATCCTACATATTTGATTCACTATGACAGTTGGTATACCACAAGCATGACAAGGCATAGTAGAAAGATTATTGAGCTCAAAAGCCAGTAAGTTAAGTGAGTCCTGGTTTTGCCATTTCCAAGTTGAGTATAAATCATTTGATATATAAGTTGGGCCAATAATAATGGGTTAGCTCATGAGGTGAGGATCAAATGACATATAAAAACTTCTTTTGTAAATTCTAAAACACTTCTAAAATAGAATGCACTGGTACTTTTAAATATTACCATATTATATTTTAGAAGAAAATCAAGCACATTGTGTGAAAGCCTTTTTCTATATATTTTGTTTACATTTAAATATTTCTTTTTCCTTAAGTTACTATGAAAAAGTGAAATAAATGGTTTTGGGGTGGACCTGATATTACCCAGATGTTTCTGAATTTAAAAGACTAGGCGAGGTAACGTAGATTTACAGTAGAGCATAAGGGGTTTAGGTTAGGTGTAAATAGTTAGATTTGTTTGAATTTGTAGTGTTTTTCTCAGGCATATTGTAAAATCTTCTTTAGATATCCTTAAAACTAGAAATAGATTTCCATCTGTTTGTGTTGGACTAGGTAGTGTCCTGCTGTAGATAGAAAGATGCTTAACTTAGTATAACTTTTAACATTCTTTTCTACCACAAATGTTGTCCATGCACTTTACTAGTTTCTCTGGAATATTTATAGAATCTGAACTCCTCATAAAATAACAGTTGTAGCTTTAAAATGTCTTGTTGTGTGCAGCCTACAGAATTTCAATATAATTAAATAAAAGAGCTTAGAAGCTAACACAGAAGTCATTGCTTAAAAGTCTTACTAAGAAAAATTCTAATTTCCTAAAGCTACACATCTCTACCCTATAGCAAGGCTTTTATTTTTATTCCTGAAGAATCAGTGAAATTGAAGTGAGCATTGATCATAATCTCTTACTACACTTTTTGAGACAATTTCTTTGCTTACTTGTTTTCCTCTTCCAAACTTTAAGCTACTTAAAGCTACTGCCATGTTTTTATTTCTTTCTGAACCACTGAGAATAGGGTTTGGCATGTAGATTACAGGATAATTTAAAATCAATTATATATTATTAGATGCAGTTCAGTGATGACTGTTTTGATCAATGAAAACAAGTGGAATATGTGAGCAGTAGTGTTAGTTCACTCAGACAAAATGGATGATAGTAAAAACAGTTACTACTTAATGAAAGATTATGTGCCAGACTTAAAGTGAGTCCTGGAATGTTAACAGTCCATGATTCCTAATCAACTTCAGACCTAAAAGATCTACTATACCACGTATAACTCTAAAGCTAAATTACTGTCTTCGTATATTTAACTTAAAAAAATCTTTAAAATGCATTCATTTTCAAACTGTTGCTAACTGGGGATATTAGTGATGCTTTAAACAGAGAGAAATGTCTGTTGAAAGAGACAAAAGTCATCTTTGTTTCTTTATATTCCATTTTTAAAACATTACTACAAATGTGTATACTTGGCTACATGCAGGGATCTTCCGGAAGGAACACTGGAGTCATTTATAGTTTGGACAGGGTATGTTGGATGAAACAGAGGGCTGCTGGAGAAGAGAGCCCAGATGAGGCTTTGCACGACACAGTGCTCCAGGCAGTTATCAATGGTTAATTGTAAAAGCTTCAGTAAGTGCCATCCTTCTAACCTAGGGCCAAAAGTGGGCTACTTAAGGCGATGGTTACTTAGCCTAATTCCTGATTTTCATTTAATAGGAAACCCACTCAGAAGGAATTCTATTGATTAATTTGGAACAGGATTCTTGTAGTTTATTGCCTGGGTTTCTTAGACATGTATATTATCTCAAATTGGTATGTTTATAGTAACAGATAAATGATTTTTTGATATGCACTTAATCTTGACTTGTGTAACATTTATATATTACTCTAGCAATAATGAATTTACTCTGAAATGCTTTTTTAGTGAAAAATCTCCAAAAAAATATTGTTTTCCTGCACTTCTCATAGCATAATATAGCTTTTCTTTCATTCCCTCCTCCCCAACCCCCTACCTTCCGTTTTTGGGCTTGAGTTTTGTCCCATCTTTAATGTCTCAGTATCTTGTGCTGATCAAAAATTGGGTTAATTAGTCTGGAATTCTAATATTTAGACTTCCCTAGCAGGAAAGACTATATTAGTGTTCACAAAGATATTTAAAATTTTGTTTTAAATAATTTCCATGTTTCAATAGGAATTCTGTCTAAAGCTTTTTTTAATGGTTTATTACAGTGACCCTTCAGCGAAAGCTCTGTGGGAAGCCTTACTGAACACCAAGCACAAAGAGGCAGTGATGGAAGTCCGGAGACATCTAGTGGAAGCAGCAAGCAGGGAAAACCTGCCAATCAAGATGAGTATGGGTAAGCATATCTGCTTCCTTTAGAACAGACAGTGGCTGCAGGCCTTGAGGACCTTTACGTCAGCCTCCTTTGAACAGTGAACCAACCTAGCAAGCTCGGTATCTAGGTGAAATATCATAGTATTTGCAAGCTACTGAAAGAGTAAGGAAGGAATATGTGCACACTACCTTTGGGGTGCAGCAGTTATCCCTTTTCTTAGATTCAGCTGTGGGAATAGGAAACTAAGGTGGTTTTTGCTTACAAAGAGTAATTCTTTTCGTTCCTTTAGTTGATCTAGAGCTGTCAAAATTGATCTGGATAACCTCCCCTTCATTCTATGCGATTCCACTGCTGCCTAGCCCCTCTTTACTTTATCCCTCCTTCTTCCTTATGTGGATGAAAGCTCTTCATCGTTGCTGAATTAATGACTGAACCACCTTAACAACTGAGAAGACAGAAATGTTATCCCTGCTTTACCAAGGTGTTACATACCACATTTTTCTCATTCTTAAGTTTTTCACTTTTACCTTTGTCTTCACAACAAAAGAATTTTTTGTTGTACAATGACTGCAGTGGAATTTAAGTTTTAAATGACTTTTGATTGGGATGTCAGAGAACCACACAACTAGTGGTTGATTTTAGAGCAAACTTATTTTTTCTGCTTTAAAAATAAAATTAATACAGAAATATTTAATTATGGGTAATCAATTTGGTGAATAGGTAGAATTTATTTTTAGAAAGTTGCAGAATTTTATTTTACCATTTAAAAAATAAGGTTGCTCTCATTATCTTCTTTTAGTTATTTAGTAAATATTAGTACATCTTACCGGATGGGATAATCTTTCTTTGTTGAGGTTTCCTCTCCTGAGTTCTTGACTTTATATGAATACAGAAACCACCCAGTTAAAACAGAAGAAAATATTTTGGAAGTAAAAGAATATAGAAGGAGAAATTTCATAATTTGAAAAAAAAGACTTTTAGTACATTAAATGGCTACATATGAGCATTATAAGTGGTACAAGAGTAAGAAAGATGAAGATAACGAACATTTATTGAGTACCATCTCTTAGTTCTTCTTCAAACTCTTATGTGTATTATTTTATTTGATCTCCATTAGACAGGAAAACTGGAATAAAAAAAAATTAAAGTCATCCAAGGCCATTCATCTGGTAAGTGTGAGGCTGAAATTCAAATCAAGATAGTCTGATGAGACAGAATATGCTATTTATAAAATAACTAATTCCATACAACTGCCTGAAATCCTGTGAGTTATTTTGGAGTAGCTATAAAGTTGTTACTTTGAGATCTTCCTGACGTTTGACTGTTAATTCCATTATCTTTCTTTTTTCCCTTTTTATTTTTCTTCTTTCTTTCCCATTCTTTCTTTCTCCCCTCCATCATACCCTTTCCTTCTTTCCACAGTTCTAGGTGTACATTAATGATAAGAATGATCACCTTAATAGAGTTTATTCAGTTTTCTTTTTTATAAAACTTGTAATTATTTTTAAACTCCAAACATACTACCAAGTTAAAAGAACTCTGTAGTAAGAACCATACCCACAACTGAGATGCTATCATTAATACCTTATTATTATTCTGATTTTACCATATCTGCCCATCTATGTGTTCCTTCAGCCATTAAAGTAATTGCAGACACTTGTACATTTCTCCCTAAGTATTCATATCATTAATTAGATTTCAAGATTTGCTTACCATTTTTTATAATAAACAACTATCACAATTTATATAACATATCATAATTTAACATATTGTTTAATATGGAACCTTTCGCCTTCCTCAAATATGGTAGCTGTTCTAATTCTAATGCCAAGGCCTTATGGTGTTAGCTTTCTTTTTAGGACTAATGTTTCATTTTTGCAATCAGCAGTTTATTTATAGGTCCAAGAATTCTATATCAACTACTATGTTGAAACAAGAGCTAATTCATATTTTGAATCAAGGAGAGTAGGAGTGTACAAGTGGTCTTAGTGATTAGGTTAATTTATATTGAGTTTCAGTGATATAATCTTATAATGCTATCATAGAGCATAAATCAATTTTTATGTTTACTGAAGGAGTCTTGAAAGATTCACATACTTTTCTAAAGGGCTGTGTCCCCTTAAAAAAAAAAAAGTTATAGCCAGGGAAAAAAGTTGATAGCCCCACAAGGAGTTCAAGTTTTCTGTCAACCAAATAATTTTTCAGATAAAATGGTTTGCTTATCCCCAAACTTGTAGGCAGAGTGGAGAGTGGGGAGAAGAAAAAAGAGAAAGAAAACAATAGATAAGTTCTTGCAAACTTTTGTTGTAAAAAGGACCAAAAAGAGTCATCCCCTGTCCATGTGCCAACCATAATTTAGTAAAAATAACTAGTGTGAACTACCTACTTCTGCTCCATATCACTAGTCAGAATTTCTGGAGTGTCTCATCTACTAATGGATACATAACCATGAATGGCATGGAAAAGACCTTAAACATGATAAATACTAGTATTTGAAAACTGCTTATCTTAGAGCTGATCATAAAAGAAAATCATGCTCTGGTGTCCTACATGGCTGGGATATTTTATCTAGCTCACACTTAGAAATGTACTTTACATGGTGCACTGTTCCCACATCCCTTCAAGTATAAACTTTTCTGACTACGAAAGAGATTTCTAGTATTTTTGATGTACAAAAGAGAGATGTAGTTCTACATTGATGATTCCTTTGTATTTAAATTCATTGAGCAGGATCCCATGACTGAAACCTTGAATAACTTTGTAAGTATAAAACCTCTTAGTACAGGTAAGTTCACTTTAAAACATCAAGTACTAAGAGAGCACAAAAAGAAATAAACATCATTCTCTTAAAGGAAAAATATTTAGTTGCTAAAATAAAGAAAAAAATCCATTTTGTTATTGTACACATAAACACAGGCCCTCTTTCAGAGAGCTTGTTATTAAATTGTCCATTAACTAAATAAATACATGTGTTTCAGAAGTGATTTTTGAAACATTGTAAACTGAATTATATTTTTCCTACTGGTTTTCATCCTGAAAAATATATTCCAAAAGTAAAGACAAAGAGACTCCAATAAAACCATTTGTTTGGATTCAAAATGACCACTCCCAGAAGAAATAAAGAGAAAGTGCCAGTCTCAGCCTCTCCATCACACAGAGAATCTGCTTCTCTACAAAACCACTATGAATGGCGGAGCTTCACCATTTTCTCCTGTATCTCTTTGAAGAGTGAACACGTTCCCCAGAGCTTACCAGGGGGTAGAATAGACAGTAGTATTAGAACTGAAGTGAAACAGATCTCTTTATGACACTGTACTTTCATTTGCTGCCAGGTTTTGTGAATGAGGGCTTTATACTTGACACCTGCTTTTTATTTTTTTGCTTGTTAATATAGTTCATTTTGGCTTCTGACACTTTTTTACTGAAAAGTTTCCCAGACCACTGAATATAAGGACATTTTTCTCAGTGCTCATTCTTGACTTCTTGTAGCATTCCTTACTCCGTATCTCCACTTTCTTGACAGCTAAGTTTTCTGTGACTATAAGCTGTCCCATGTCATGGAATACAAAGTCGGTATCTCTGGACATGAATAACAGTTCTGCATGGGTTAGCCAAACTCTCATTTCTCTACCTACAAAAATGGGGAAAGCATTTCCTGGAAGCCTGAAAAAGTCTGCAGAGTGAAGGTTATGGCTGTTGAGCAAACTGTAATTGGTGTGCTGTGGTCATAGTCTGTCTATGGGAAAATCTACATGGGAAACCAAATCACAAGATGAGAGTGAAATGAAAGCAAACAAATCAAATTAGAAGGAAATCTCCCCCCTTTTTTCTGGGAAAGCTGCAATCCATTCTTTCTACTTTCCTGTCTTTTTCTCTTTCCCAAATTGAATGTGATTAGTTCTTTCAGTCATTTGTGTAAAGACAAACCTTCCCACCATACCTGCATAATTTTCTCCATCTCCAAGTTACTGACAAAGTCCTTGTTTGTGACTATACCTCCCAAAATGTGGTATCAAGAGCTGAACAAGGAGGTTCACTTGTACTTTGCCTCGTGTGGGCAATTCTCTTAATGAAGATCCAAAGTAAACTTTGCTTCCCACTAGTGCCACTTCTAATGTCGCTTACTGTTTGTACACTATACGCAACAATGACTTTCTGTTGTTACTAATTTTTTCCCCAATTCCTTCCCTCATATCTACTTGTCTCTTCCTTTCTCCCTCCCTTCTAACCTCAGCCTCATGGTGTTTATTGATGTGTACTGGATTTTGAAAGGGTTCTTTATGTTCTCAAATTGCCTGCTTTGTAAAGGTTCCTATCTGTTTTTGGGAATCTAAATTTCTAATGCACCTTCTTCAAGCATTATTTTTTACTAAATTTTTTTTTGTGACTTCTTCCCCCCTTACTCCTCTTCCTTTCCTTCTGTTTCCCTACTTTCCTTTAACTAATACTTATATTTTCTCAGAATAACACTTCCTCAACATAAGCATATGGGCTAAAAGTTTAGAAACCCCGAGAGAAAGACGTGGTAAGAAAACTCATGGCTGCAGGATGGGTGTTTCTCTGCTTAGAGACCACCCTAAGAGCAGAAATGCCATTCTAAGTCACACTGGACCCACCAACCAGATGGTCCTTCACTGGTTCACTGCCCTCTGGAAAGTGCTGCCTGGATTGGAGGGGTGATCTATTTGTTTTCCTCCCGCCTCTCTGCCTGGTTTGTAAGTGTTGATGCAGAGTTGAAGTAGGCCGCAGGAAGACTACACTTCCAAATAAAGCCAAACCATAGATGTTTCTGGTGGCTTTATATTTTGCTGTTTGGCATAGCTTTCAGAGAGAGCTGTTTATGTTCTATTTGTGACCCCTGGTTTTGTGGCGGTTATATTTTATCCCATACTACCCTCAAAACATTATCTTGCAAAAGATTTCTGAATTTCAATGCATGTGATTCATATAATTAAAATACTCTTTTTCACATTACTTTCTTATTCTAGTTTTATAATACTATAGAGCTCAATATTTTTGTGTAACAAGAAACATATACTATTTAAAGGATATTCCAGAAAACCTTCTTCAGTATTTATGGTGTTATAAAAATGGCATCAATTCCCAGCTGACCTTTATCTAAGTTATACTATGCAGATGGCTGTATAAGCTGCCCATCAAATCTCAATGGGAGAAGATTTACAATTTCTTCTTCCCTTTTTAATAACTTGTTTCAAATGTCCGACAGTCATCGCGATCATAAAAATTTTTTCTTATGTCTGACTTAAGTCTTTCCACCTGCATGTTAGCCATATTTCCTTGCTCTTTGACCTCAACAGAGGTGGGAAATAGGTAGTTATTATTACTCTTCTGTTTTCTTACCCGTCAAAAGACAATGCTTCACCCATTGCACCAGTCCATGATAGTAATAAACTCAGATTTCCCAGAGAAATATATGCATCTGTTCATTCTGTAGAAGAGCCATTTATTTTTTTAAATTTCAAAACCACAAGGATATTTTAAGAATAAGCTAGCACATGCTTCTAGAAAACTCAAATCATAGGGTATGTAAATAAAGCATGAATGTATACCCCTTTCCTGTTCTTTGTTTCTAAGTTCATATCTTTCCAGGTATTTTTCTATGTAATTAGGGAAGCATTAAATAAATAAGTAAACAAATAATGAGAAAAATAAAAGGTACATAAATGTATTTAATGCAATATTCGCAAGAATATTAAATATTAAGTCCTTCTCAAATAAACCTGCCCCCTTTTCTCTAAGAGATAATTGTATTTTAATGAATTTAAAAATATAATTTAAAGTAATAAGCAGTTATAAAAAAATAAAGTTATAAGCAGTTACGTTACTTTCTTGGGTATTTTTTTATTGAGATAACATTGGTTTACAATACTGTATATGATTCAGAGGTATACATCTTTTTCGAGGTATAATTTAAGGATTAAATACAATATGGTTAAAGTTCATATAATTTTGTAAAAATGGTAAAACAATGAAAAATAAATAAAATCAAACCTGACACTGACAAAATACTTTATTTTCAGAACATCAAGAATCATATATGTGTAGATATGTTAAAAACATTTAACAAAAATAAACTATTATATTATTAAAAAAAATTTATGAGCCAGAAAACTGGTTTGGAAAGTTATAATTTATCAAGTGAATATAGTAAATGGAAAAAATAAGCTCCATAATGTATTTAATATAATATTCACAAGAATATTAAATATTAAGTCCTTCTAAAATAAAACTGTCCCTTTTACTTTAAGAGACACTTGTATTTTAGTGAATTTTAAAATATATAGAGAATTGATGATTGATAAAGTTTTGTTTTTCTCTTAACTAAATTGAAATCAGGAACTTGTTTCTCTCCTTAAAGACTCCATAAAGTGGGCCTTCCTGATGGCTCAAGGGGTTAAGTCTCAGTACTATCCAGCTGTCTTCAGACACTGCAACATGAGTTCAATCCCTGGCCAGGCACAGCACACCTGCTGCTTCCCTCAGTAGTATATTTCGGTACATCTGCCTCTTTTGCTCTCCATTCTGTCTCTGGTCAATCCTCTCACCCCCTGTACCTCTGGTCTACATTCCAGTTTTCTTGCATGCATAAATAAAAATAAATCTTTAAGAAAAAAAGTCTTAACAACTTTTTCACTTGAAAACCATTTTAACATTTGAAATTGTCATTTTTCAAAAAAATTGCTATATATTATGCTGGTATGATATGAAATACCTCTTGTTTAATGACTTTAAAACTATGTTGCAAAGATTTCTAGGTTGACATTTAAATATCACCATCTAAATCTGCTAGACAAGTTTTTTTTTTTTAAATGTGAGTTATGAATAAATGTTATATTACTTTTCCTCAGCTGGTTCTAGCTGCTTTCTGTTTTAGTTGATACAAACTGAGAAACTTTCTTAAGTGTCACAATAGCATCTTTGGTACTGAGGTAATTGATTTCCACTTGTTTTGTGTAAGATTGTGATAAAATTTAAAATTTTGAAAATCTCATTAGGCTATGTTTTACAGTATATGTGTGAGGTACTTTTTACCAAATTCTAATCGACATGTTATGGCTCTTTAAATCAAAGATAGTCTTATTTTTAACTTTAACATGTGATTATTACGGAGAAATATAAAAGGATCCTCTAATAACTTTCTCTGATGATATCTATTACTTGCAATCTTTGTGAAAGACAATAATAATAGGAATGGCTTCTGTGTAGATTGAGCCTGCTTAGTCAGTCCCTCCTCCTTCAGTTGAGATAGGCTTAGAAAGGTAGGTTTATCATTTAAAAGATTTCAAGACATTTTGTAATTATCCTTAGAAGTACTTATTACAAATATAATTTGGTTATTAGTTGTATAGTTTTAAATGATGGACTAAATGCTCTGTATCCAGGAACCACACAGCCATCACTTGCAATACAATGCATAAATAAACAAATTGAAACCCTAGCAATCTTATATTTCAAATACTTTTTAAAAAATATTTATTTATTTATGCATACTGGGGTACAGGCCAGAGGTGCAGGGAGTGAGAAGTTTCACCAGAGCAGAACAGGCAGATGTACTGAAATATACTGCTGAGGGGAGCAGTGGGTGGGTCAGGTGAGGTCTGTCACACCATGTTAGTCACCTCTCTGGCCAGGGATCGAACTCATGCTGCAAGTGGCTTCCTTAACTTCATAGTGTTGCATTTTAACCTGTTGCACTATCAGCGAGGGCCCTATTTGAAATACTTTTTGTAAAAATTTGCTTTTACATATCTAAGGTTAAAACTAATAGATGCCAGAGGATGTCATCATGTAAAAATGTTAATTATTTGCACAAAAGGTCACCATCCTCTAAGATAAAGTGACCTATAACAGGTTGAATTAATTAGATGTCATTTGTGTTTATTTGTTGGCCTTGAGGACAGAGATTTTCATCTGGTTTGTTCATGGATTTATTCGTAGGACCAAGACTAGTGCCTGGCACAGAAGTACATGTTGATATACAAGGGCCTTCATGCTATGATGGTTACAAGCATCCATCAATAGCAGACTGATACAACTTTACAAAGAAACACTTTTAAAAAATTAAAATAAGCCAAGTTTTTATATATTAATATGCCTAGATTTGAAAAGTCATGTTGAGTAAAAAAATGAATTTTACAGTGTGTTAAAATGTCAGTTTTAAAAACATAAGTTGTTATGACTGTTTCAAAAAATACAAGTCTGTAATAAAAGTTTAAAAACCTGTAAAGAAGAAATATATCTTGAGGCAATGAATTATTAAAGGTAATGACACTCACAACTCAATAAGAAAGTAAACAACCTAATAAAAATGGGCAAGAGATTTTGTTTTTTTAAATTTTGTATCTTTTCTAGTCTTTCATGAGTTGGGATCCCTGCATGTAGGAGACCAGTGATTCAAGTATAGAGTTGGGGTTTCTCATCCTAACTCTATACTCTTTTGCTCTCCACTCTGTCTCTGGTCAATCCTCTCACCCCCTGTACCTCTGGTCTACATTCCAGTTTTCTTGTATTTCCTAATGCTCCTTATGTTTTTGTCCCATGTAATGTTCAGTTTTTATCCTTATGAATATTATCATGAACCCATTAATATTAGTGATTTGAGCTATAGGCACAACATTTTCTCCTCTTATTTTTATATATGTACACAATTAGAAATCTTGCCTTCTTGACTGTTGAGTGCTATGTCATACTTCTGGGAGAGGTACTCCATGTTGAGCTGAACAAATATTTGTGTGACTTTATTTAAGACCTTATTTATGGAATAGTGTAAAATTATAAAGTGGATTCTATTAGCAGTGTGACCATCAGATCGCTTAACTTACTTTGTTTCTTTACTTATAAAAAGTGTAGTTTCCAGCCCTCCCTGGTGGCACAGCAGATTAAAGCACAGCATTGAAAAGCTTACGCCACTTGAGCATGAGTTCAATCCCCACCCCAGGGGTGATACACAAGGTGTGGCAGATCTCTCCTGGCCCGCCTGCTGCTCCCCTAAGCAGTGTACTTTGTCAATCTGCCTGTTCTGCTTCCCACGCTGTCTCTGGTGAATCCTCTCACTGCTTCTGTACCTCTGACCTGTACCCCAGGTCTCTATGCACAAATAAATAAACCTTTAAAAAAAATGTATTTTCAACATTCTTACTGCTACCATGTTATAAGAATCATAATAGTTAGCAAAGCTCTCAGTCAACTGAAGTTTGCAACCAATAGTACTAATAATAGCATTCTTTGCTATTTTTATTCCCAGAGGGGAGTACACTGATACATTATTATGTTCCTTTAGGGAGAGTCACTCCACATTATTATGTTCCTTTAGGGAGAGTCACTCCGGGACAACTCACTTCCTATATCCAGCTCTTCAAGAACAATCTCAAAGCTCTCGTGAATCACTGTGGGCTCCTACAACTTGGGTTGGCCACAGTTCAAACCCTGAAACACCCACAGACTGCCAAGTGGGACAACTTCCTGGCTTTTGAAAGGCTCCTTCTTCAGGTATGTTGCTTTGGGACTTTCTTGGGATATTAATAATTAAAAATTTCACTTCCAGGGAAAAACATTGCTATTTATTATAGTCCTAGTAGTAATTCATATTGTTGACATGTGCCCTATATCATATTCTCAAAATGCCCCTAAATTAAAATTAAAGTCAAAACACTCCCCCACCTTAACTTTTTGTGACAGATGTCTTTGACTTCTTATTCAATAGTCAGAATGTTTTTGAGCATTTCTTTACTCATTTAATCTGTGGTTAATAGAAAGAACTGTTTTACATCCTCCAAATACTTCTCTGAAACTGTGGTTTGTTTTTTGAACTTTGATTCCTATATAATTTACTGTATAAAAGTTTAGATTTTCATGTTGTCTCATTCCTTAATATTAATCCTTAGGGGTTGTACTTTTTTATGTTTTACATTAGAAACCCGGTTTCTAAGCCTAATTTTGAAATATATTGATTTATATTTTGCACTAAAATGAATTTGTATTTTTGAGATTTGAGTTTTTAACCCACCTGGAATTAATTTTTTATATTATTAGAACCTTGTTTTCTTTTCTTCCGCATGGAAAGACTGTTTTCCTCACATCATTTATGACACATCCTGATGTCCTGTAGATTGTCTATCTGTCACTTTCCTCTTTCTCATGTTGGCAGGACTTCCATTTTGTTCCCTGGCTTCCACTTTTCCCACATGACTCAGGCAGGTTCTGATTGGTCTCAGGCCAATTTGATATACTCATCTCTCCACTTAAGTGATTGGCTAATCAGTTCTAGCCAGAGAGGCAAAGGTAAGTTTGCTGGAGTCTTTCTAGGAAAGATTTTCTTTTGCCTATCTCAAAAGGTACATAATGATAAAACAAACTTCTTTTCCTGCCTCTTGATACATTTTTGTGACATTTTTGAGATGAAGGGAGTTCCTTGAGATCCTGAGGAAAATGGAACAACCTGAAACCCTAATGATTTTGAGTCTTATCTTCGCATCTCTGTCTTGGAGATGATAGTTCTACTCATTGTTAAAATCATTTTAGTTGGTTGTCTGTTATTTGGAACCAAAATCTTTTGGTAATATACCAAGATCTCTATAAAAGTAAGTTTATTTCTCAGTTTCTAGTCTGTTCCAGTGGTTAAACCATCATTTAATTAATTCCACAGCATTTGAAAATCATTCTGTCTCATGGTGTACTTTTCACCCTAAAAGAGACTTGTTAAACTCATTCATGGGGATTTAAAGGCTCTTATGCGATTGTGACTTGAATTTTTGAAAAACCTACTTTCTATTTTTTGCTGGCATATAGGAGCGCTTTGACTAGTGAGCACATATCAGTTACTTGCATTTTGTATTTCTACTTGTTTTCTTAGCTGTCAATGTGGTTCCTTGGTTCTCTTGGATTTTCTCTGTGGGCAGTAATGTTATCTATAAATAATGGCAGCTTTGTTTTTTTATTTCTACACTTATACCACTTCCTTTTTTAGACATACTAGGAAAACTATTCAATAGAGGCAATGGAAATAGACAACTTCACCTTAAGTCTGACTTTAAAGAAAATGTTCTAAAATTTTACCATTAAGTATTATATTTGTTGAGATCCTGTTTTGTTTTTATTCACGCTAAGGAAGTTCCCTTTTAATTCTGGCTAGCTAAGTATTCTATTAACTTTTATTCTATCTTTATTATTTCCTTTTTTCTGTGTACTTTGTTTTATTCTATTGTTCTTTTTACCTAACTTCTTATTTTCAAACATATGTACTTAAGATTATGAATTTCCTGCTAACTACTACTGTGGCTTAATCTAAAAGCTTTGTTTTTTCCCCCAAAATTTCTATTATGATTTTTATTTTGACTTGTTAGGTTGTTTAGACTACATGAACAACTTAATTTTATAAATATATGTGGTCTTTTAAAACTTTACTTCTAATTGATTATTTGATTATGCTTAGAGAATGTGTCTTAAATGACATAATTTCCATTTTATGGGACTTCCTTTGTATATGATCCATCTTTACATATATTCCATATGTGCTCAAAAAGAATGTTTTGTTTCTAGCTATTCTCTATAGGATTCCATACCTGTCCCACAGCTTATAATAATTATATATTATATTTCTATATTTGTAATAAAATGTTATTATAATAAATAGTTGTATATACCTAAGTAGTTCAGAAATACAAGTTCTTTAATTTTTTGTATCTGACTTTGGACAGAGGATTTAAAAAATAACCCATAATAATTGTCGACTTACAATTATCTTTTATATTTTTCTATATCAGTACCTTTATCGACACTGCTTCTGTATCATGATACCCATATCATCTATATCTATTAAAAATCATGAGTATACACTAATGTCACAATTTTAATCTGTGATACACAGTTAATTCTTTCTCTTTTCCACAGTTGTAGCACCCATCTCTATAGCACAGAACTTGTCTCCCATGAATTTAATGATGACTTAGTCATCCCCTGATGTATTCAGTCTCCCACTACAACTGTCGATGTCCTCATCTCACCTGGGCTCTGCCTTCCTGCTCCAGGTCATGGCCAAACACACCTGAATATTCTCTTTCACTTCACGCAAAGGCATCCCTGTTGCAGCCTCTTCATGAGCATGCCCTTCTCATCTGGCTGGAGCTCTGACTGTGGTTAGATGGTAGAGAGTCTTCCGATGGGCTGCCCCCGTCTCCATCTCCTGCAGGGTGCCCTCCTCACCTTTTCAGGCTTCAGCGCCCATTCCATGCCCTCTTTACTGCTCCTGTGGCACAGAGGTCTTTCTCACTCTGCAGGCTCTAGAGTGCCGCCATTGCCACAACCCCATTTGGATGTTGTCACCTCCCTGTATAGGCTCTGATTCTCTGTTATGAGATACTGTGGCCCCCCAAACTTCCACATAGATGCTTTTATTACCTCTTTTGTTTCTCACACCCCACACTGGACTGCTGCTTCATTCCTCTGTCCTCCCTCCTCCCGCCTGCCTCCACAGATGATTTTCTCAACACTTGTGCACCTTGAGAAGCCTTTTGGATATGTCACCTCACCTCAGGTTCTGAAACTCTGCATGGGCCTCCATCTGCCTTCTGCCTCTGTGTGGATGTCCTCTACCTGCTAGGGTTCTGGCTGCCTATGCTCGGCTCTACCACCCACTGTGCAAATTTTTGTTAGACTCCAGTACCCTGTATAGGGCTATCAGTCCTCCTACCTTGGGTGCCCTTTTCATTCCTGGGCCCTGATGACCTACTCTAGGCTACTGCTAAACCTTCCTCTTACTCCCATCCTCACCCCGCTGCAGCCTGCCACTGATGACCTCTGAGGTGCGTCTCTAGCTCCAAATGTAATAGAAGTGCTTCAAAATAAAGCACAGTTTTCTCCCAGGATTGTTAATCCTTCGACTTACTAGAGGTTTCTGGAAAAAAATTTGACACACTCTTAATTGTAAGTCATCTTATGTTATTTATTTAACAATTGGAGTCCTGTTCCATATTAGACTGCCTCAGGTGACCAGAGCACTGGGTGTGGTTCTTTCAGAAAAGTGGAGAAGAATAAAGAGAGATAGGGAAAAAGAACTAACATTTAAAATACCAAAATCTGATGTTTAGCATTACTGCATTCACCCTGGCTGGCACTATAATTTCTCTGTCATTTCTGGGTCCTTACAAGTTTGTGTTTGAGCATAGGCAAGCTTCTAAACTGGGCATTATAATTACTCTTTATTTATGAACCAACTTATTTTCTACTGTATGTACTCATCCATTAGAATGGGATGAACTGATTTTTTACAGACTTTGAACATAAGGGCAACTTCTAGCTTTTTCCAACAGGCTTGAGAGCCACCTAAATGCAAATCTCAGCCAGTCTTGAGAGTAGTTTATTTATTTGGGGACTCATTTCTACCATGCTCTCCAGACTTCTATCACTGGAACCTAATGTTGATTTTATCATCTAAGTAACATTATAGACAACCCAGGTTAGAAAAAATAGTTGGTCCTGGAAATCTGTAATTAGATGTAGGTTACTACATTTCTTCTACTTACTGGTATTTCTTGAGTCAGTGGTTTTGGTGATTTAACAACTGGTCAGCAATTAGTTGCAATATGTCTTTGCAATAAAAAGTAGACATACCAATTTATTACTTGTAGAAGTAGTTTTTAATAGGTATTTAGATTTGTTAAGATATGCTAAGTTTCAGAGCATCTCTTCTAGGACACACCAAGTCTACGTAGAGTAAATAATAGAATATCTATCTGCTTGTCAGCCACTAAATAATATTCATAAGACTAATATTTAATCATACTACTACTGAAAATGACAGAAACGTAAGATGTGCTCAAAAGACACTTTGTGAGTGTTATTGGAAAAATCTAATATTTATTATCAGTTAATATGTTTTTGAAAACCAAAAAAGATAAAGCGTAAAGCATCTTCTTACCTCCTTTTGCTCTCTCTTTTTCCAAGAGTCAGTATCACCATCTATGTTTTAAACATTCGCTATATACATGTGTTCCTGTTTTAAGTTTAAAATGTAGGAAAAAACCCAGTTTAATTTGACCATGGATACATTTATATTTTCATTAATGAATGTAAAATTAATTTTGCTTTTTTAAGATAAAGTTATAGATTTACTTAATTTGGTGGTAACTTATAATGCAGAAAGAAAGTTTTATTCAGTTTTCTCATCTAAATAGAAATAAAATTCTTATCTCCTAGTATCATTGTTATACCTGAATGAGATCATACGTGCACATCTTTAAGTATAGGCATGTCTTATGGTACGTGCCCATAAACAGTAGTTGTTGCTATTTGTTCTTTTAGCAGGATCAAAATGTCAAAAATATTACAAGTGCTATCTGATGTGATAGTGCAGATTTAGTACAGATTTTGTTTTTCTTAGTTGAAATTTATTAAGCAAGAATGAGACCATTACCTATTGTCTTTTTATTAGCATTTGATAATCTTTGTCAGTGTTTTCCTATACATTTAGATTTAAATTCTATTACTTCTAC